CTATCCTTAAAAAGGGTGGAGACAGAAGAGACCCAAAAAGCTACAGACCCATTAGCCTTCTTGGTTGCGTAGGAAAATTGATGGAGAAATTAGTAAATAAAAGACTTATAAGGTTCTTGGAAACAAACTCAGTAATCACCAACACGCAGACAGGATACAGAAAGCACAGAAATACAGAGGACCAGTTGACATATCTGACACAGGAAATTGAGAATGCCTTCCAGGAAAAAAAGAAAGTTCTTGCTGTCTTCTTTGACCTCTCTCGTGCTTTCGATACAGTTTGGAAAGAAGGCCTACAACTAAAACTGCTACAGGCAGGAGTTGTGCACAACATGTACAAGTGGATCAAAGACTTTCTTTTCCAATGCAGAGCCAGATTCAGAATTGATGGGCACATTGGCAAAACTAAGAGAAGGAGTTCCCCAGGGCAGTGCGATAGCACCAACACTGTTCCTGGTTTACATAAATGATATCACAGCAACCTGCCACCAGCACGTTTCTAATACCCTACATGCCGATGACTTTGCAGTTTGGACAGCCTTCGAATTCACTACCACAGCCTCATATCTGTTACAAAAAACTGTGGAAAATGTAGAAGCCTGGGCCGAAAAGTGGGGTCTAAAGCTAAATAATTCAAAAAGCACAGCATCACTTTTCTCTCTCTCCCCAAAAAAGAAAAAAAAATCGAAATTTGGATTAATAACCAACTCATTCCACAGACTGACACTTCTACCGTTCTGGGCATTACACTTGATTCGCGACTAACTTGGAAGTCACATGTAGAAGCAGTACAGGGAAAAGCATTCAAGAAGCTTGCAGTGATGAAAAAATTAGCGGGTACCACATGGGGTGCCAACTCTAGAATCCTAAAACAAGTATATACTGGAGCAGTCAGGCCAGTCATGAAATATGCCTAAACTGAATGGGCTGCAGCAGCCAAGACAACAATGGGAAAACTGGACAAGGTTCAGAATATGGGATTTAGGATTGTTCTCGAAGCCATGAAAACCACCTCCTTCAGAGAAATAGAAAAAATAGCAGATACTGAACCACTAGAACTCAGAAGACAATACAAAACCCTTTTACAGTATGAGAAATTAAAAAGACTTCAAAATCACCCACTGCATTTTAAATTTCAAGAGAGAACAAAAAACAGACTAAAGCGTCAGAGCCCCAACCACTTTGCTAGAGAACTGTACAGACAGCACCAAGATCTGCTTGAAAGAGATGTTGCACTGTGCAAAAAAACTTAGGCCAGAACCATGGACAAGCAAGCCAGAGAAAGCAAATGTAGTCCTAAAGGTACCAGGAATCACTTCAAAAGATGCCCAGACGGAGACACAACAGAGAACCCCGGCTCTTGCTATGCTTGATGAGAAGTATCCAAACACCACTTGGACTCAAGGCTTTCACCGACGACTCTGCTACAGATGCAGTCAGAAAGGGGGGTTGTGGAATTTACATTAAACCCCCTAGCAGTAGAGCAGACTCTCTCTACCAGCAGGTGACATCTGCACTAACTTCAGAGCTGAGGCAAACTGCCCTCCTCTCTGCAGTCCAACATCTCATCACTCAAGAACACAGAGGGCACTATATTGTTATACTTAGCGACTCATTGTCTGTTCTTCAAGCACAATCCAGCAAAAAACTAGACAAACTAATTGCTGATCTAAGGACCAACATTGGCTTACTCTCAAAGGAAGCAGAACTGGTCTTGCAGTGGATACCAGCCCACTGGTATTCAAAGGAAATAAGAGAGAAGATGAGTTGGCAAAAGCTGGGAGTAATCTTCCACAACCTCATCCACCACACAGCTATAAGGAAACCAAAACAGCGCTAAAGCAGTCTTTCAAGCGGGAGTGGAGAAGACAGAATGGAGATTACAGACCAGAGAGTGACAGCATAAACAAACTCAACAAGAAAGAACAAACATCAATTTATAGACTTCAGACTGGACACTGGTCTTCGAGCACTCTTGTACAGGATAGGCATAAAAGAATCTGCTGCCTGCGATTGTGGAGCAGAAAGACAGACCCCTGGGCACATACTACAGTACTGCCCTAACCTCTCCCAGCAAAGACAGTGGATCTGGCCCAAGGGAGCCACATTGCAAGAGAAGCTATGGGGGACCGGTGGCGACCTTAAACGAAAATCCTATTTGTGACCCAAACGGGACTCAATGTTTAGCATTACTGATGTCAAACGCTGAAGAACAGCCATACAGAAGGACTGGCTTTATTAACGCTTTATATATTTTGATCCTGGTGTTGCGAGACATACACTTTGACTTTAGCAGATGAAGGATATATAATATTTTGTTTCTAGATTGTATTTCTTCTCTCAGCATGTTGGAGTAGTTGAAGTTTGCACCCAAGTACTTATGTTTCCATTCGTTTAATTTTCATATTATCGACTTGGATGTGGCCGGAGTTTATATTCTTTCCATGTCTGGTTAGTATTCGTACAGAATGGTAAACATTTAAAAACTTTATGTTTTGCATCCTTCAGCCAGTCTGTGGTAGCTAATAACTAGGAATGAAAGGATCCTAAGTATTATAACAAGTAACTTAACTTGAAAATTGTCACTGACAGCTTAGTTAATGCAGGAAAGCTGCATTAGCTTTCAACAAAACTAATCGTTCCATGTTGTCAGCTTTAAGGCAGTGTATGCAGAAGAGGGTGTAAGGTAACTACTATTCGTATTCGGCCCGAACCGAATAGTCAATAGGTCTACTATTCAGCGCAGCCCGTGGAAAGCATTCGAAAAATTGCATTTAACCTAATGTGTGTGTAAAGGGAAATGAGCAAGCAGACCCACTGCATGATTGTGTTGTGACATGGGAGTAAAGCTTGGTGAAGCACATCTATGCCGTCTTCAAGGCCGAGATAGACAGTAAAACCAGCTTCTAATAGCAACAATTAGTAAAAGTACTTTGGAGTGACTGCTGCACCAGAGGACTGAGCATGCATGGGAATGCCTAATGTGCAGTGACGTCAACTGTGATAATAATCCCTTGTGGCCTTTAGCCATACTTACTAAAGCCTTTCTGTTTATCTGAAGACTGATTATCACTGTTTGGGATGTTGAGGTTTAGTTTCTTTCTGCATACAAATGTATTTTTATTCTATTTCGCAGGTCCCGAGAGTAATTACATCAGCCTCGTGAGTTAGTCCGACCTACCTCTGATGTGAACAAAGCTAGGATGTTAATTACATGTGCAACTGACATCAGAACCTAAAAATGTAGTAAAAAAATCCCTTTATGAATGAGATCCCTCAATAACAATTAGGGGGCCCTAATAACAGCCTAACAGGGTTTCCCAAACCTCTCCAGCGTGATCCTCATCTGTATCGTGGCTTTTTGTGTCACCGGGTGTTTATCGCTCGTCTGATGTCCTGATGCTTACCGTTCCAAAGTGTCACATAAACAAACTAGAGCGCATACAAAACGCGGCTATGCGGGTCATTCTGGGTTGCACCAAAGTGGTGTGTATGCGATACATCCTTGGTCTGCTAAATGTCAGGCAGACACAGACCACGCTTTACACGAAGCTCTAGGTGCAGTTAAGGGTCAGCGGCTGATTAGAGGGAAGTCATAGATGGCTCAGACAGAGGACACAGACAAGTTTGCATCCTTGAGAACATTAGGCAAGGAGAGGGTCAAAGTGCCACCTGAACAGTCAGACGTGTGTAGAGTCATAATCACACTAAGCTGGGAATGCAGAGACTAACCAGCAGGTGCCACAGAGGTGGAGATTCAGCAATTCAAGATAATGCTCGCTTAAAAGATTTGATATTTACAGACGGTTCAGTGTCAAGAAGCGCTTGGGGTTTCTTAGCAAAAGTTAATGGTCAATGTTAGGTGCAGGATAGCCTAGAATGTGATACCACATCTTAAGAATGGAGATAGAGCCGGTCACTTCAGCTTTCCGCTGGTTGAAGAACACGAACATCGTGATTGTTACTGACTCAAAGCATGCTGAGGAAGATCACCGCAGAAGACACAGGTGCGGAGTATGTCTGGATTTTTTTTCTTTACTGTAGCGCCGGTCTGTTGGGAAATAGAGACTGGCTGTGCAGCCTAGTGGAATACTGATGCATAAGGCAGACGTGGTTAGTGCCTTGTGGGGAAAAAGCGTGTAGATTAGAGAAGCACAAGGATCACTAGTCTAGTGAGATTGATGCAAGGGGGAGTGACAGGTTCTGAAGGCTCACAGGAAAGACAAGACGGATGTTAAATCAAAATGATACTAGCACCATTAGAATCGGAATTCGCTGAAGATAGGGACAGAGGGCTTATGGGAATGCTCCATGTGTATGTCGGTTCCTGAATCAAATATGGTGGGGTACAATAAGACAGACATTCATTACCAAAAATACAACTCACTCACTCATATGCCTCTTCTGCCATGGCAACTGTTGAAACTTCCTAACAGCCTCTTGTGTGTGGCACTTTGCTTGCCTTACTCTTTGTTATGTCCTTTAGCTAAGCCATCACAATAAAGTCAGCTCTGTGGCTAAGTCGATGTGGACCTCCGTAATGCCAGGTTCGATCCCAGCTGCGGGTTATGTGCCTTGCGTTGTTTGGACGTAAATTTGCCAAAAAAAACCATACGGGCTGTTGGGGTTGGTTCTGAAATGTCCTGTGAAGGATACGCAACTAACCATAATAAAACTAGCGAAGTAAATCAGCGAGGAGCTTAAAGTAACTGAGAAACACCAATACCAGGAAAGTGCAGCAGGGTCAAATGAAAAAAGACAGGACTAAAAATACAGACCTAGAAAGTGTGAACTACATGCAACAGCGAAGGTTATGGCCGAAAAGGTGAGGTATGTATTCCCAAATTCCAATGCAGGATAAAAAAGCTTTAGACCATTGTCTAGAAATCTGAAAATGCAGTTTTCTCAGCTGAGATGATAACATTACTTTGATATACAACACGACTGCAAACAAATAAGAGAAACAAAAACATCTTGAACAGGTTCAAAACTGAATGAGTTTATTCATTATCGACATTGATGGTTTGTTTTCCTGAAGAAAAAAAAAGAAAAAGAAATTGTCATTACAATGAAACAGTTACTGTCATTTCAATGTAACTAAATATTTGTATTTTATTTTTTAAATCTGTAGATACACCTCACAGCCCACAAAGATTTAGGGACCGGCTACATATTATACCTATTTTACCTAAGTAATTTTATACAACTTGGTAAAATTATTTAATAATTAAAAAGGGTAAAGTTGCAGGGTAAGAGCATTGCCCACACAGCACCTGGTGTTGTCCAACAACTTTTGACACTTGTAAACTGACCTGTGCCACCGTGAAATGAAACCAAGGCCTTCACAGCGTCAGGCAAATGGCGTTACCACTTCAACATGTAGACACCCAACCCTCTAATACTAAATAAGCACAATCATGATACAAAAAGGGAAAATGTCCCTTTGCTTGTTACCTTTCTAAAGAGGGATAAGCCACTGCCAGCCATTAATAAAACACAAACCAGGACCAGTCTGCTTCATCATGAAGACTCCTCTACTGAAGTTATTAACTAATGCTGTTGCAGAGTCCATCTTCAGTATATGGATTTTATTGTTGCCATACTCAGCATGTTAATTTCATCACAAGTCTTCCTTCTTCAACGATCCTTCTGTCAGATACCAGTACAGTTCCTAGCTCCTCATGTACGGTATCGTTCGTCTTCATTGTGGCTTAAATTGCGTCTGTTGGCAGCATACAAATGACTGTCAGAGCAGATGTTCAAATTGACACCATTTCCAACACTACAAAATTTGAACATATGTACTTGTCATAAGTCTTAAAATCTCATACTCTTGTTTTCACCACTACTACCTCATACAGTTCATTAACATTGTCTTTCAATATTTTTTTTAATCCTTATTGCTCAAATACAAAAATGTATACTAAAACCTTATGTAAATACCACAGCAGCACCTACCCTTGAACTCAGCACATGGGACGTGTGTGACGAGTGTGTACAGTCTGTGTGGGGAATCTTCATCTTCGTTGCGCTTCCTGGCAAGTCGCACTCTCAGCCTGTGTGGCACATGTCTGGAAACAATGTCAATATTTTTGAATAATTGACTTTTAACGTGAAAACAATTCAGACTGCAAAGCAGTTAGTAATAGTAAAATGTTACAAAGGATTTAAGCATACTTTAATAATTAAATGGTAAAGATTAAGTGTCTTACACTGTAGATGTACGATTCTTGCTGCTTGTGTTTTTAAAGTAAATACCAAAAGCAGAAAACTAACAAAATAATAAAGGCTCAAACTGCGCAGAATATTCTTCAGCTCAGCTGTCTATTCCTCCTCAGAATAATGGCTTTCTGACGAGCGCATGTAAGGTTATCCTTCTAGCATATTTTGCAACTGTTTTTTTTTTATATAAGTCTCCCCTGTCATTTGTCTGGTGTATTCCAATGACAACCTAGAAATACTGCAATCAATTTCTCCGGATATTAACTAATGCAAATGTCAAAAGGGTCCCTTAGATTATGACAAATACTATAAATGTCTGTATGGTGAGAGAACAGACAAAATCTCGCACCTTTTCCAACCTGCTTAATAAGATGGTCATCACTTTAATTAGGTTAAGATTTATTTGGATGCCCCCCCCCCCCCCCCCCGTGGGTTCTGGGGCCCCATTGTGGGAAAAGCAAAAATAGACCCACTGCCTCCCTAAAAGCATGTCGTAAGAGTCGACTAATTAGGGAGCTTCCTTTGAAGTCGGAGTGCATCTGACGAAGAGGCAAGGAACCAACAGTCTGTATTCAAGAGAATGAGATCTGTAAAACTGATGCACACACAACGCTCAGGTTCTGGAGCAGGACTGCAGTTCAACCAGAACTTTCCACCATAGTGTACAGCTGGTGAACACCAAGAAGAAGATTTGGATGCCTTCATCCTTGGTATGGGCATGCCTCTGCTATGCACTTTTAAATTACAATAACATACACAGAGGACTCCACCTGGGAGTGGGGGTAGGGGAGAAAATACCCCACTGTCTAACACACATCTACACCCTCCCCCCATACCATATAAGGCGGCTATCCTCCGAATAACGGTTCCAAATGATCTAGGCCGAAAATATACCCTAACAAGGACTCAATAGCAAATAATATGAAGGAAGCTGCAGGAAATGCAGTAGCTGCTGCTCGTGAGTCCCAGCCATCTAGTTTAGCCCCAATCCACGCGCAGCGGCGTGGGAGATACACTCTGTGGCGGGGGAAGTTTGCAAATCAAGTCGCCGGAAGTCCCGCAACTGACATGTGACTGAGGCCCTCTTAAGGTCTATTTTCTGCCTCGATAATTTTGGACCGTTATTCGGAGGATAGCCTAAAAGGCCACTTGTTCCAGAAGAGTATATGCACTAAAGGTGAAGAATTAGCCTGCATACAAAATGAACTCACCGTATGCCCTGAGACCAAATGTGCTTGTTCAGACGGATGTCAATGCGCACATCAGCTGTTCCCATCATCTTCTCAGCAAATTTACGGATCTCTTTAATTGCACGAGGGGCCCTCTTCTTGAAGCCACTGAAAACAAGCAAAAATATATAAAGCAAATTATACTACACACATGACAGAGGAATACAGAATAAACACAAAATACAATTTTGGTGACAGTAAAGATGGAAAAACAAAACAGCTGTGAAATGAACAAAGCCAACAAACTAAATTTTCACATATGGGAAAGATAAAGCTGTGTGAATTCAGCTCGACCTGAGTAGGTGGCTAAGCTGTCAAGCATGCATGGCTGTTGAGAATAAAGATAACTGCCGCACAGCTGATACTAGAACATTTAATTTGTTAGATCAAAACTGCATGTTTCTCCAAACTGCCTGAATATAATTGTGAATTGTCAGTTTATTTCTTGTTACTAACAGTTTTTTTGTATATATCACAATATGCCACAGTAACATTTAAGTATAAAGATTTCAGACTATGGTCCTCAAACATACTCGACACTTCCCACAACCAAAGGAACCTATAATTTTCTTCAGGCCATGCAAGTTACTGTCAGTTTCCTAAAAAGACAATGTCTCCTAACTATGTCAATAATAATGGGAGAAGTAAAAAAAAAAAAAAACTGGCAGTTTTTGTCCATTTGCATCACACGACCAAAAAAAAAAAAAAACACAAGATTTTGCACTTTGCTTTTGTGTGCATTGGTCAGACCGTTAGGTGTGTGGCTTCTATATATAAACCTAACTTTATCAGGTAACGTCCAAGGAAGTAGAGGCGGACAGCAAGATGTTAGCCGCAGTACCTAAATACTGGCATCACTTACCATATGCCTGACATACCACTTGCAAAACTTGTACTGTGCATTCTTGTTTCTATAATGTACATTGCATCGGTCCATCGTTGTGTTAGGACAAAGTAAAGACCCACTGACTCTTAACAATCTCACAAACAAGTGATCAGGAAACTGCTGAAATGGATGTTTCAAGCAAAATGTGCAGATATTAACTGTAAACCAGAATACAAGTTGTCAACTGTCCTTTTCAGAAGATTTCCATCTTGCCAGCCGCCTTTTTGGACAGCAAACACATATCCTTTCATAAAAGTAAAGGTATGTTCGCACGGCGTCAAATGTCTCATCTACAGGTCACTAAACGCTTGACAAACAACACTGATTCAGAGAAATAGGGCCTCAATATTTTACTTACATGCCATGCACCCTCTTGTGCATATGAATGGTGCACTCCTTGGTGATCACCTCATTGGTAACTGCCTTCTTTTTCTCACGCTGTCTACGCGGGGGAGCCATTGTAAAGTAGCCTGGATATAAATACAATTTTTATTAGCACACAAGTATATAAAACTGTAGATTTTTATAGTTGCTGTGTTTAAAAGTGTCAATGTATAAGGTGTAGCGATTGATAGCAGTCTGGAGGCGTAAACAACCAGGCCAAAAGACGAGAGACGAATAACTGCAGATCTACTGCAGTAAGTAGATGCAGAGATGACATCTGGCTCAGAATAAAAACCGTTTTCTGTAATTTTCCAATTTTTTTTTTAAATGTACAAGTTTTTGTTGTATCAAAACTAAATCACATCAGCCTTATTTACTGTGAAAATTCCCGATAGGCTTGTATTACAAAAATGTTTTCCTCCTTAAATTTAATCTTAGATGAAGGTAAATAAAACGCGTTGTTTATCGCTATCATCAACATAGTTTTATATGTCAAAATTATGAATTAGTAATTATTAAACTAAAGTTCCTGCACCGTACTTGTTAAGAACTATTTCATGCTATGTTTACGTACAAAAAAGTCCAATAAGAACACAAGATTACGATAGATTAAATACCTCACAGTCTCTCTAACAACCTACCTCCAGAATCGCTTCGACCAAAAAGGAAGTACAATGTCCTCTTCCTGTCTGTGTCAAAAACTTGAACCAAGGGAAATAGCTATGAAACAAAATTTTTTACCGTCTCCACATTGACCGTTGGCTACAGTGACCCGCTGTTCCTCTTCTTTTTCTTTTCTCTACACCTGAAAAGCCTTGCGGCGTCAGGGCAAGAAGACATATATGAAATAGGCTCTTCTTTTCGCTTCGTATATAGTACTTTTTAGTGTCTTCGATATCTCCGCGGTCCAAATTATGAGGGGTCTACCATCATCATCATGTCTCTCCATAATCTGCGATCTCCTGCAGCATGTATCAGTTCGTGTGCTGACACACCTCCATGCCATGCAACAAGACTGTCAAGCATCTTCTCTTGGTCTACATCCTGTCTGTTACTGCTGTATCTGCATGGCATTGCTCTCTGTGGTACCCCGTCTGATGTAAGTCTTGTTGCATGGCCCCACTGTTCTCTTCGAGAATATCACGAGGGGATCATCCAATAATTTCTGCGGTGTAACTCTCGTAGTACTGTCTCAAACCCATAAAAGAACTGTATAAGAAATGTGTTTTGGGGGTACAGAAAATGGTTTCCATTGTTTGTAGAATTTTTTTTTTTTTCGAAATATTGTGATCGAATTGGAACAAGGCGAGAACACTTCTTAGTCGGAAAGAAATTATTGAACCAGACACACACAAAATGTTTATGCAATAGAGCATTGCAATAAACACACTATATATCTATATATAGTATACGAATGCTTTATATATATATATATATATATATATATATATATATATATATATAGTTTGTTTATATAGTATACGAATGCAGCCAGCAACGGGGTGGAAAAGATGGCCGTTTGTTGATGTTAAATGCATCCTTGATCTCACAGTCCCTACCTCTCTGTACAAGAACATTCACAAATGGAGGAGAAGATGATGTCTGCTAATATAGACTTGGGGCTTGTGAAACAAGAACTACCTGATATATTTTGTGAGGACAACCACTGCACATTGACTAGAATGGAAGACATGGCAGCTTGTTGCCGCATTCAAGAACTGGCAGAATTTAACAACACCCAGTCAAGAAAATCCAAAGATAAAACATCTCTCACTAAATACAAACAAGAACCTGTTGATGATTGTGAAATCGAAACACATTATCCAGCGTAAGTAAAACATAAGAACTCTGGTTGATGTCAGAAAGCATATCTTCTGTGATTGAAATCAGTGCTAAACAGTGTTTGACTAGTGAGAATTGTCAATCACAGCATGTGGAAGATCTAGCAGAACATACACAGATCTCTGGGACATGTCTTGATGACACTGTCACTTCTACCTGTTGTAGATCTCAAGGGATCCCAGCAGGAAATACACCATGCATGTCTGCTGACAAATGTCACAAGAGAACACATAATGGAGAGAGCTGTTATACGTATTTTGATTGTGGAGCATCTTTTATTGATTTTGGCCACCTGAAGTGTCATATACGAAGACATACAGCACAGAGACCTTGCATATGTCATGTTTGTAGTGCACCTTTTGCTGCCAAAATTAATTATTTGCAACATACAAGAGTGCATACAGGCGAGAAACCTTATAAATGTGACATCTGCAATGCATCTTTTACAACTGTGAGTTCTCTTAAACATCACATGAGAAGACACACTGGGGAGAAACACTATATGTGTGTTGATTGTGGTCCATCTTTCGCTGTGACTGGTCATCTCAGCCGTCACATGCGAAAATATACAGGAGAGAGACCTTACAAATGTGATGTTTGTATTGCATCTTTTACTGACAGTTTTAACCTGAAGCAGCACAAGGTAAAACATACTGGTGAGAAACCTTTCAAATGTGATATTTGTGGTGTAAGATTTACATTACATTGTAACCTTACACGACACCAGAAAGGGCATACAGGAAAGAAACCTTACAAATGTGATACTTGTGGTGCATTTTTTGCTTTTCCTGGTTATCTTAAAAAACACAAAAGAATACATATAGGAGAGAAACTTTACAAGTGTGACATTTTTGATCTATCATTTAGTCATGTTAATTCTCTTAAAGGTCACCAGAGAAAACATACAGGAAAGAAGCCTTACACGTGTGACATTTGTGATGTATCATTTACTCATTCTAAGTCTCTTAAATTTCACCATAGAAAACATACAGGAGAGAAGCCTTACACGTGTGATATTTGTGATGCATCATTTTGTCAGGCTGGTTCTCTAAAAGTGCACAAGAGAAAACATACTGGTGAGAAACCTTACAAGTGTGAGATTTGTGGTGCATGTTTTGCTGCAAATAATACTCTTACACGACATAGAACAATGCATACTGGAGAAAGGCCTTACAAATGTGATGTTTGCTATGCAACCTTTTCTTCAACTAGTATTCTTAAATCACACAAAAGAACACATACAGGGGAGAAACCTTACAAATGTGTTGTTTGCTCTGCAACTTTTTCTTCAGATTGTCTTAAGTCACACAAGAGAACACATACTGGAGAAAAGACGTACAAATGTGTTGATTGTGGTGCATCTTTCAATATAGTTGCTCATCTCAGGTGCCACATGCAAAGACATACAGGAGAGAAACCTTTCAAATGTAATGTTTTTGGTGCATCTTTTTCTAGTAGTTATAGTCTTAAGAAATATTTGAGAGCACATACTGGAGAGAAGCCGTACATGTGTTGATTGTGGTGCATCTTTCAGTAGAGTTGCTCATCTCAGGTGCCACATGCAAAGACATACAGGAGAGAAACCTTTCAAATTTAATGTTTTTGGTGCATCTTTTTCTAGTAGTTGTAATCTTAAGAAATAAATGATAGCACATACTAGAGAGAAGCTTTACAGATGTGCTGTATCATTGACTACAAATGATATACTGAACGGCATTAAAAAAAACGCACATTTAAAGAAGGCTTTCAAGCGTGATGTTTTATGTGTGTCTCTTCATAGAGATATAAACTTACACAAAAGAAAACATACAGGAGAGAAACTTTACAAGTGTGATGTTTTTTGTGTGTCTCTTCATATAGATAGAAACTTACACAAAAGAAAACATGTCAGAAAGAAACTTTACAAGTGTGATGTTTTGTGTGTGTCTCTTCATAGAGATATAAACTTACGCAAAAAAAAAACATATAGTAGAGAAACCATGCAAGTGTGATGTTTTGTGTGTGCCTCTTCATGGAGATATAAACTTACACAAAAGAAAACATATAGTAGGGAAACCTTACAAGTGTGATGTTTTGTGTGTGTCTCTTCATAGAGATATAAACTTACACAAAAGAAAACATGTAGTAGAGAAACCATGCAAGTGTGATGTTTTGTGTGTGTCTCTTCATAGAGATATAAACTTACACAAAAGAAATCATGTCAGAGAGAAACCTTACAAGTGTGATGTTTTGTATGTGTCTCTTCATAGAGATAAAAATTTACACAAAAGAAAACATGTAGGAGTGAAACCTCACAAGTGTGATGTTTTGTGTGTGTCTCTTCATAGAAATATAAACTTACACAAAAGAAAACATGTAGGAGAGAAACTTTACAAGAGTGATGTTTTGTGTGTGTCTCTTCATAGAGATATAAATTTACACAAAAGAAAACATGTAGGAGAGAAACCTTACAAGTGTGATGTTTTGTGTGTGTCTCTTCATAGAGATATAAACTTACACAAAAGAAAACATGTAGTAGAGAAACCTTACAAGTGTGACTTCTTGTGTGTGTCTCTTCATAGAGATATAAACTTACACAAAAGGAAACATGTCGGAGAAAAACTTTACAAGTGTGATATTTTGTGTGTGTCTCTTCATAGAGATATAAATTTACACAAAAGAAAACGTAGGAGAGAAACCTTACAAGCATGATGTTTTGTGTGTGTGTGTGTCTCTTCATAGAGATATAAACTTACACAAAAGAAAACATGTCGGAGAAAAACCTTACAAGTGTGATGTTTTGTACGTGTCTTTTCATAGAGATATAAACTTACACCCAAAAAAACATGTCAGACAGAAATATTACATGTGTGATGTTTTGTGTGTGCCCCTTCATAGAGATATAAACTTACACAAAAGAAAACATGTCAGAGTGAAAACTCACAGGTGTGATGTTTTTTTTTTTTGTGTCTCTTCATAGAGATATAAACTTACACAAAAGAAAACATGTCAGAGAGAAACTTTACAAGTGTGATGTTTTGTGTGTGTCTCTTCATAGAGATATAAACTTACACAAAAGAAAACATGTCAGAGAGAAACTTTACAAGTGTGATGTTTTGTGTGTGTCTCTTCATAAAGATATAAACTTACACAAAAGAAATCATGTCAGAGAGAAACTTTACATGTGTGATGTTTTGTGTATGCCTCTTCATAGAGATATAAACTTACACAAAAAAAAACAGGTAGTAGAGAAA